GCTCTGAGGAGTTCAAACCCGTGTTGTTCAAGAGTCAACTACAATTACATTTAAAAGCTGAGATATAAAAGCCAAGTTGGAACTGCTGGAATTGGCAGCCTAGGGGGAAGGAGATGTGGGTAAAGTATTCTAAGCAGAGGTAACAGATGAAGTACAAGAAGCAAGAGAAGACGGTGACCTGAGAGTAAGAGCAGAGAAAAATAGACAGATTTAGGGGACAGGGGGACACTCAGAAAAAAGAGTTGCAGAAATTAATGATTAATTATTAATGTATTTAAAGGGTGAGGGCAAAGGAAGAATTAAAGATTATGCACAACATTTTCACTTGAGAAATTGTATGAATTGTATTTTCATTTTCCAGAAAAAAGAACAAAAGAGGAGTAAGTATGGAAGAGAAAGAAAAATTTACTGATAGTTTCACATGACTCTGTAACTTCAGAATGGATCATTCAATAAACAGTTTGATAAATGTGATCAGAATTCAGGAGAAATAAATGGGCCAGAAATATAGATTTGGAAATCTTTAGCACAGATATGACAAATGATACCATGGTAGTAAATGAAGTCAGCCAAAGGAGGTGCACTGAGAAAATTACACTAGCTCAGTATGCTGAAATCTATCAATATTTAATGGCTAGGAAGATAACGAGGAGCCCCAAAGAGAACATTTTAAGAGAGGCAAAATGGGAAAAGAAAATCAAAAGACTGCAGTGTCATGGAAGCCTAGAGACTACAACTTTTCAGGGTGGTGGTGGTAAACAATGTTAAAAAGCTATCCATAGGTTAAACGAGATAACGACTAAAAAGAGTAGACAGGCAAAGATCCTCTCTATCAAATTAGAAAGTATTCATCTTTTCACCAATTAAAATCAAGTTCCACTAAGAACTATGGAGGAGAGAAAAATAAGGATAAAAATCAATTCAACAAATTCTATTTCATGAGAAAGTTTGGATTTTTCTTTAAATCATATTTGTTCCTTTTTATTTTCTACCTCTGGGCTTTAGGCTGATAATATATATTTTTTCAATCTGAGCTAATATAGATATCATGCAAAAGTATCCTTCATTCTTGGTATTTAATGCTCAAACTTTCTAATTCTAGAGGCCCATTTGCAATAAGGAAACTATACTTGGCAGTTGGTCCAAGACTGCACAAAACAAACAAAACCACTTAAAGAATCAGTTCTTTCTCCCTGTTTAAATCACTAACACTATTAGAAGTTATATCAATAAGCTTGTTCTGTAACAAGAATACTTCAGTGATTTTTTTTTTTTTAAGATCAGATCTATAATTAAAGAAGCAATGTGGCTGAATGGATCAAGGCTGGAAGCCAGAAGCTTTAAACATTAAATTCACCTCTTCCAATTACTTTTCTGCCTACTCTGACAATGTTCTATAACTCCTTCAGAAAACAAAATAGCAAATAATAATCCTAAATGAGAATGAATTACTCAAACAAAAAATTAAACAATTAGAAATAATTATAGAAATGGAAGCAAAAAAACACTAATAGATAGCACATCAAAACTAACCTTTTATATCCTCACAATTTCAATTGCTTATTGACGGAATCTGATTTGCGTTTTTCTAGGAACAGAACAAATACTATCACTTATACCCCAAATGGGCTAGATTTTCTTGGGGTCTTTCAGAGTTGGCATTCTAAAGTTGATGAGGTCAAGGAATAAGGCAAATCTGGAGCCATCTGCCCCTTTCCACCTTCATTCTGGCACATTTAGTAGTCTGGCCATTTCAGCTTTCTCCTCTTACAGGAAGTGGCCACTCAGTAGAGAAGAAAAGAAGAGATTTTGTTTAGAAGTCATTCAATAACTGGAATACGTCATTAATAACATGGATTCAAAGTCAGATATGAACTGGTTCAGTTAACTGAAACCCATTTGGAATCATGAAAGAGGACTGGAATCAGTTTGTAGGTTGCCAATTCCTGCTTTGTGCCAATGCTCATCAAATACTAAGCATTATACCAGTGCCAACACATTTAATTCTCAAATAATTCTATGAAGTATCCCATTTTAAAGTTAAGGAAACAGCCCTTTTTGAGCCCTTCCTTTTGCTCTCCCGTTCCTGTGACAATGGGTCCGGTCGCCATCTGTGGTGTATGTATCACACTCTGAACTTATATCTTGCTCTTGCTCTTGCTCTGTAATGCTATCTTTCTCTCCTCAATAAACCTCATTCTCATGCTTGCCTTACTTTGGTATGTCTGGTCATTCTTTGGCCATGAGTGTACTAAGAACCAACATTTCAGACTGAAACCAGACATTGTTTTATGAAAAACTCAAATACAGATTTTCTTAAATAAAATAGTTTTTCCCTTCTGTATGTTAAGAATGGTTTACTTTTTTTACACCTTTTTAGGTACAGAGCTATTACATAAACATAGTTATACTATATTAGAAACAGTAAACCTTTAAAATGAATCTTAAGAATATGTAAAGTGACCACTCTGATAAAATAAATAAAGTAGAAACAGCAAAAAATAAATAAATAAAGTTAAGGAAAAAAAGGATAGGAGAGGTGAGTCACCGACATCATAGGTGGTATTTTATTTATTATGATAATCTTTAAAAACCTCTATAATATATATTTTTTCAATCTGAGCTAATATAGAAATCATGCAAAAGTATCCTTCATTCTTGGTATTTAATGCTTGAACTTTCTAATTCAAGAGGCCCATTTGCAACAAAGAAGCTATTCTTGGCAGTTGGTCCAAGACTGCACAAAACAAACAAAACCACTTAAAGAATTGGTTCTCTCTCCCTGTTCCTCTCTCTCCATGTTCCAAATCCCAACAATAATTGGACCAGCCACTAATTTACAAGAATGATGCTGTATTGGTTTCCTATTGCTTTCTTGTCTATAAAATACTATTCTTATTGCTTCCTATTCCCTCAAATTTAGTGGCTTAAAACAACACAAATATATTATCTTATAGTTCTTTAGGTTAGAAGCCTGACACATATCTCAGTAGGCTAAAGTCAAGGTGTTCATGGGGCTGTGTTACCTTCTGAAGGCTCTGGGGCAGAATTTCTTTGCATTTCCTAGCTTTCTGAGATCATCTATATGCAATCCTTTGTCCAAATTCATTTTTCTCCATTTTCAAAGCCAGCAACAGCCACCTGAGTCCTTCTCACATCATACCATTCTGACCTTGCTTCTATACTCAAATCTCTTTGACTCCCTTCTTCTACCCCTCTCTTCTACTTTTAAGAACCATTGTTTATATTGGGCCCACCTAGATAATCCAGGATAATCTCCCTATTTTAAGGTCATCTGATTAGCAATTTTACCCTCTGTCATGTACCCTAACATATTAACAGGTTCTCTGGATTAGGACACAGACATTTGGGGGGCCATTATTCTGCCAACCACAGCTACATGCTAGCCTCATCATCAAGTAAACAACATAACTCCACAGGGTTATCAAGTTGTTCCCCATTAACACTGACATTCAAAGACTGCTCACTGACAAAAGTTAGGCTAAATACAATGTCTCACTTTAATGAACTAGCAAACAAAGCCTCAGAGACATTAATAATGTGGTTTTGTTTTTACAGTATACTTATAAGAACAGGCTTTCTGTGCAACAATCTTATTTGAACCAAATATAAATGCAGTATTGTACCTCTTCCTACTGTTTCTACCATGAAACTCACTAACAATGATTTGTTTTTTACAAAACACTGTTATTTCTCACATTATACCATTGATATTGTTTTGAATTTCATTGATTTCATTATTTTATCCATATTTAAATTGTGAATTTATTTTGGTTCATAATTGTATTAAAACTATATACAAAAAAAAAGTAAAAAAAAAAAAAAATTTCACACAGTATCATCCAGAAAGAAAAAAAAAAGTAAAAAAAAAAAAAAAAAAAAAACTATATACATATGGAGTTATACCTAATTCTTTATTTCTAAATACTTAAGTAATGGTAAATTAAAAATAATTAAGTCAAAACCAGGGATCCACAATTATTTTTAAAGGGATTTCTATCACTCTCAGTTTTAAGAAAGACTGGAGTGCTAGAGTAGAGATTAACAACATGGCATTTGGAATCAGGTCTGAATTCAACTACCAGCTCTGTGACTTAATAGCCATGTGACCTTGGATAAGCAGCTCATACTCTTTAGATATGTAGTTTCCTTGTCTATAAAATAAACCTACATAAGAGGCTACTCATGAGGATAATAGGAAATTATATATGTAAAATGCTCAGTACAGTTTCTGGCCACGATCAGATACTCAATAAGTAAGATTAATATTTACTTTACAAAACTGTATCCAAGATTTCGGATAAAAAAGACAATTTTCAGTGTCTAGCCTGTTACATTTTCTTAATAAATATTAAACTTCAAATGATTTAAAGAATACTATTGAATACTTAATGTCTGAATTTCTAAGGGTCTAGTCAATTTTAAATTAATTATCTTTCAATTAATTAGCTTACTTCTATTTTTAATATTTACTTATCTTTTAAGTTTGTCACTTATTCCAAAAAAATCCATCTGCTTCCCTAAAAACTATACTATTAATAATTATGATATTACTTTCAGTTCTAAAAATAATATGCTATGGTGGATAACATTTAACATTTACTTTCTATCTTTCCACAAAGAAAATACCCTGGTATCTTAATTAAAAGTAATAAGAGAAAAATTACCAAAATGAATCTAGGAATATCAAAGGCCTACATGATCTCTGAAATGAATACTAGAGTTAAGAGTCAACTTCTAAGACTGCATTTATGACTTGAAAACAGTACTAATTTTAAAACAATGACTTTTAATTCTGACCAAGACTATGCAAAAAAGGACTGAGGGCAAAATGAACATTTATTGAATATAAATATGAAAAAAACTATATTTTTGTAAAAGGTTGACTAAAGATAAGCAATTATATGTATTAATAAAATTCTTTAAAAACATTTCAAGATGGATCTGTTTTTTGTATTATCAGGTATAAAAATACTTACAGTTTGATAATATGAGGATGACGAAAGAGTTTTAGATTTTGAATTTCTCGTTTTATTTTTCCAACAACATCTAAACTGCGAATCTTCTGTCTATTTAAGATTTTAACTGCAACTTTATGGCCTGTCAATTGATGTTCTCCAACTAAAGAAAAGAAAAAGAAAAAAATCTGCTGTCATACCAACGTAATCATTTATTCATGCTTCCTTCACTGTATCTGAAATTTCTTTACTCATATATACACTTTTATATCACTTATTGCACAGAACTGAAGTTCTCTTTTTACTTCTGTCTATTCTACTAGCGTATGCACTCGAGGACAGAAACTGCATCTTAATCATCTCTGTATACTCAGCACCTAGCACAAAGACATTTATTAAACATTTGTGGAGAGGATTACTGAATTATATATTCCTACATAAAAATATAATCAACTTTAGAACACCTTTTTGGCAGAAGAGCATTCACTATGTTTCGTTACCCTATTTCTCCTCCTCTGCTTAATGCTGGTCACTGAAGTATAGAAGAATAAATAAATGTTGTAATAAACTGAAAACACTAGTTTCATTACTATTTCATCAGAAAATTCACATGTAGCCTTTTTTTTTTGCCTCTTCCATATATAAAACTTATGTGTCATTTACCATTTTTAATCTATTATGAACATTTGGGTTTGGCGCTTTTTAAAAATTTTACCACATTACAGGGGCACAAATGTTTGGGTTACATGTACTGCCTTTTACCCACCCGAGTCAGAGCTTCAAGTGTGTCCATCCCCCAGATGGTGTGCACTGCACCCATTAGGTGTGACTATACCCAGTCCCTCCACCCCCTTCCCACTTGCCTGACACCCAATGGATGTTACTCTATATGTGCACTTTAAGTGTTGGTCAGTGAATAACAATTTGATGGTGAGTACATGTGGTGGTTTCCATTCTTGTAAAAATATGGAATGCTTCACAAGTTTGCATGTCATCCTTGTGCAGGGGCCATGCTAATCTTCTCTGTATCGTTCCAATTTTAGTATATGTGCTGCTGAGGCAAGCACAAAACATTTGTGTTTGTGACAAAGCATATGACCTGAACTATTAGCTCATACCCTCCCTGCATCAGAGGGCCATCTGAATCTCCCAGGAAGGAAGATTCTTGTAAGTACAGTGTTTTGTACACAGAGATTCTAAATAAATACATCCTTTGTTAATTGAAATGGTCCTTCTCCTTTTTCATATAATCCATTCATGATATCCACACTAATAGTCATATCCTTAAATCCCTCAAGCAAGGAAAAAATTTGTCAGCTACCTCTCAATTCTATTATAAACCTTCACCATTCTCCCCAAAAGACCTACCCAACCCTTGACTCCTTTTATAGTTGTGAGTTTACTCCCCCCACCCCCCATCCCTGGAGAATATTACTACCATGTGAGCACCATAGTGTTAATCAGTCAGTACCAATTTGATGGCGAGTACAAGTGGAGTCTATTCTTCCAATCTTGTGTCACCTCACTTCGGATAATGGGCTCAAGCTAAGAGCTGCTAGATCACTGTCAGTTCTTATAATTGAGTAATGTTCCATTGTATACATATACCAGATTTTAATAATCCACTCATGAATTGATGGGCACTTAGGTTGTTTCCACATCCTTGCAATAGTGAATCGTGCTGCCATAAATATTCGGGTGCAGATGTCTTTATTACAGAATGTCTTTTGCTCTTTGGGGTAGATGCCTAATAGTGCTATTGCTGGATCAAATGGTATTTCTATTTTTAGCTCTTTGAGGTATCTCCAAATTCTTTTCCATAGAGGCTGCACTAATTTGCAGTCCCATCAACAGTGTGAGAGTGTTCCTATCTCTCCACATTCTCACCAGCATTTGTTGTTTTGGGATTTTTTGATAGAGGCCAATCTCACTGGGATTAGGGGATATTTCATTGTGGTTTTGATTTGCAGTTCTCTAATGATTACAGATGTTGAGCATTTTTTATATGTTTGCTGGCCATTATTCTGTCTTCTTTTGGAAAATTTCTGTTCATTTCCATTGCCCATTTATAGACAGGGTTGTTTAATTTTGTTCTTGCTGATTTTTTAAGTTCTAAATAGATTCTTATCAGCCCTTTATCGGATATGTAGAGAGCAAATATTTTCTCCCATTCTGTAGGCTGTCTATTAGCTCTAATGATAGTTTCCTTGGCTGTGCAAAAGCTTTTTAATTTGATCAGATCCCATTTATTTATTTTTGTTGCTGCTTTGGGGGTCTTCTTCAAAAATTCTTCGCCTAGGCCAATGTCTGAAAGAGTCTTCCCAACATTTTCTTCTAGAATTCTTAAGGTTTCACGCCTTAAGTTTAAGTCTGTTATCCATTTTAAATCGATTTTGACAGGTGAGAAGTAGAGATCCAGTTTCATTCTTCTGCATGTAGCTATCTAGTTTTCCCAGCACCATTTATTGAAAAGAGATTCTTTTCCCCAATGTATATTTTTGTCTGCTAAAGGCTTACTTTTATCCACATCCCTCTTTCCTCTAGTCTCAGAGATGCTGCAGCCCTCCTCCTGTCCAAGGCCAGCCTCGTCAATTTGTGGCTTTGAACCCATCTTTTTTACACTCTCCTCATATTTGGCCTTTTCCTTTTCTAACAGCTCTTTCTCCTCAGCCTATCCACATCTCATACTCCCTCCTCCAAACCTTTCATTTACGCTGTATCCTCCTCTAGTTTCCAACACTTATCAAGATTTCTCAAGATAGTAGCCTACATCTTTTCTTCCTCCCTTATCCCCATCCCTAAATTCACTGCTACCTTCCACCTCCACTCCTGTACTGAAACCAAAAGGCCATGAAAGACCCACTGATTATCAACCCATGGATACTTCTCAGTTTCAATGGACACCACCGATTACGCCCTCTTTGTGGTGGCAATGTTCTCTCCTGGTTCTCCTGTTAACTCTCAGATGCTCTCCTTTATGTCCTCTGCCTATTTAAAGATTAGTGTCCCCAAGTTTCTAACCTAGACCCAAGGTAGATCCTTATGTTATCTCATTCATCTCTCATAGTTTTAAATGCCACCCATATGGCAATGACTGTGCCTCCTCCTTCAAATTCATATATTAAGATTAATATCCCATAAACACCTCAATTCAACATGTTCAAGACTAAATTCAGCATTCTTCTTCTCTTCCTCTGCTAAACCTGTCTTCTATTTCACTTAGTGGCATATAGCCTATATACTAGAAATGAAGGAGTCAGCTGAGAGAATCTCCTAAATATTTCTTGGAGTCAGGTTTCAACTCATTAGGACAAAAATATTAATAACCACAGAAGTGACAATTAATGACATTTATCAAGTGTTTATTACATACTAAGCATTATTTTAAGTGCTAGCTGCCCTGCTCTCTCAAACTTATAACAAACCTAAGAAGTATTATTATTCTCCAGTATACAGATGAGAAACCTGAGGCACAGAGAAGTAACTCACCTAAGGTCACACAGTAAATGGTGGCACAACATTGGACCTGAAGCTGCCTGACTTCAGAGCCAGCATGTTTAACCATACACAAGAATACCCCCATTCAGAATAATCCAAACATGAAACAGACTTATTTAAGAACTGAGTTTCCTGTCACTGGAGGTTATTTTTATCTTAATAACTTTCTCAAGCTATAAAAATTATCTCAAAAACTTTAAAGAAGTTTGAAGTTACCTTTCCAGCATATAAAACAAACAAATCAGGAGAAATCAATTTCAAGTAACCTAACTTACTAATATTCCAAAGTATGTTTCCAGGACTTCAGAAAAACATTATCAATTTCTAGAGACTTTCTATTCAATTACAATAACCCAAATGGTTTCTTGATGCCTAAGTAGTTTATTACTTATCTTTGGGAATTTTATAATACCCAAACTGCCTGGGTGACCAAACAAGTATGTCTCTCTTCTCAAATCCCTGATAGCCTCAAAAAACTAATGCTGCAATCCCTTTATCAATACAATAAAGATGAATGATTTAATTTTTCCTTTTCCATTTGATAATAAAAATTACTATTCTACTAAGAACATCAAAGAAGACCAAGGACTCTAGGAGCCAAGCATATGAGTGTTTTTTTAATGCAATATGGTTAATCTGGAAAATAAGCAAACAAAAAGTGAGTGAATTCACTCAAAAAATAAATAATATTATGATGAAGTATTACTTTGTCTATGATATGTGAGGAGAAATAACTGATTCATTTACCTTTATACATGAAGAAAATTTCCTCTGTTAAATAATGAAGGAGAAATGGCATCCTCTCTTGACATGGTTAAGCACACTGATAAGCTAATTAGATATCTGAGGTCAAAAGAGCGAAATGCTTTAGAATTCCCCCTCTTTGCTTAATTATGCTAGCTTTTCTTGCCTAACAACTCCATAAATTAGTACTTAACCATAATTAATTAAATCCAAATAATTTGTCATAATCACAGTCTACCTGAAAGCTGAATGAATACTTGTAATATTAATACAGATTTGAGATCAAGAAATTCTTGTATGTATATTAGACAAAAACTTTTCTTTATGTAAATCAAAAGAAAAGAAATTAAAAGGCTTGGATTCATCGGAGTTTTATTCTCATTCATGTATTCAATCTGAAAACATTTGCTGAGTACCTTCTACATGCAAGAAGTGTTGATCATAGACACATGAAAAAAGATTCTTTTAATAGGCCTCCAAGTTTTAGTGGACAAAAAAAAATATCAGCCACAATAAAAGCACTGAAATAAATTTTATGCAGTATTATATCTGTACAATATATATATATATATGACTGTCCAAAAACTATCAGGATACCTTATTTGCAAATGGTAGATGAGAAAGATTATAAAAACACCAAGGATGGGCAACCACTTTACCAGAATTTATCATGTATCTAAGTAAATATCTAGATCAATACCTATTTTGACAGGAGCAAAAAAGGACATTCATCCACTGAACAACTATTTAATTAAATTGTCTACTGTTGTAAGCACTGTACTAATTACACTTACTATAACACTCGGGACTAAGTGGTAAACAAAGTAGTTCTGTGACACTACTAGTTGTCACCCAATATATATTGCACCTTCCTTTCCCAGACATAAGACTCCCAAAGTACACCTGAGCACATGGCTACCCAGAATACAGAATACATTCTAGCATCTCTTATAACTAGATGTGGCCATGTGACTACCTTCCAGCTAATGACATATAAACACAAATGTTCCTGGCAGCTTCTTCTTCATCCCTTCCTTCATCCCAAAGCCAGGAATTTTAGAGCCACCATTCTGAACCCTGAGGTGAAAGGTAGGCAAGGGAGAACAACAGGAGAGAGAACCCCAATCTTGCTGAGCAACCATATATGAGTTGATGGAAATAAATTATAATTTATAGCCATACAATTTATTGAATTAAGAAGTTAAAGAGCTTTCTGCTCCAGCCGCCCAACATGCCGAAGGGAAAGAAGGCCAAGGGCAAGAAGGTGGCTCTGGCCCCCGCCGTGGTGCAGAAGCAGGAGGCCAAGAAGGTGGTGAACCCCCTGTTTGAGAAGAGGCCAAAGAACTTTGGCATTGGACAGGACATCCAGCCCAAGAGGGACCTCACCCGCTTTGTCAAATGGCCCCACTACATCCGTTTGCAGAGGCAAAGAGGTATCCTCTACAAGCGACTGAAAGTGCCCCCTGCCATTAACCAGTTCATCCAGGCCTTGGACCGCCAAACAACCACTCAGCTGCTTAAGCTGATCCATAAGTACAGACCAGAGATGAAGCAAGAGAAGAAGCAGACTGTTGGCCAGGGCTGAGAAGAAAGCTGCCAGAAAAGGAAATGTCCCCACTAAGAGGCCACCTGTCCTTCGAGCAGAGGTCAACCACCTTGGTGGAGAACAAGAAGGCTCAGCTGGTGGTGATCGCACATGACGTGGATCCCATCAAGCTGGCTGTCTTCCTGCCTGCTCTGTGTTGGAAGATGGGGGTCCCTTACTGCATTATCAAGGGGAAGGCCAGGCTGAGGCATCTAGTCCACAGGAAGACCTGCACCACCGTCACCTTCACACAGGTTAACTCGGAAGACAAAGAAGCTCTGGCTAACCTGGTGGAAGCCATCAGGACCAACTACAATGACAGATGCGATGAGATCCATCATCACTGAGGAGGCAACGCCCTGGGTCCAAAATCTGTGGCTCGCATTGCCAAGCTGGAAAAGGCAAAGGCTAAAGAACTTGCCACCAAACTGAGCTAAGTGTACACTGTTGTCTTCTGTACATAAAAGTAATAATAAAAGTTATCCTTCAGCCAGTGTCTGAGCAAAAAAAAAAGAAGTTAAAGAGTTCTACAAAATTATCATCCATTAATGGTCCATTTTGTTTTTCCTAAATTTTAGCCAAAATATACAAGATAATCTCTAAAACAATGGGATTTTAAAAATTCTATACTCACCCAAACTATGCCTTTTATAGTTCTACATTTCATAAGGTGAACAGCTGTCATACAGAAGAAGGAATGGAACTCATTCAATTCATTCTAGAAGGCAGAACTGGGAATAATTGACAGAAATTCTTTCAACTAACAGGTTCACCTGTTCTATGTTCTCCCCTCCCTTGTCACTACCCTGGTCTATAATGAAAATTTCATGTTTTAGAAGTAACTACTATATCCTGAATATACTTTTCTTCACAGGATGTATAACACTAACATTTACTTGATTCCCCGTTCATCTCTCGATACTAGATAGAAGGGGGTCAGAGGTCAGATCTCTTGTGATCTTTGTCTATTGTCAGGGGCACAGCTGCTGGTAAAAGTAAGCCAGGAAAACAGGGCACAGAGAGATTAAGAATTTGCCCATGGCCACTCGGCTAGTAGGTGAGTGACCATGGTAGGTCCCAGTAAATAGGGCTGGAACCCAAGGAGCATGTCCCCAGAATCAGCAATCTTAACTGCACCAGCCAGCCTTCAAAGACAGGGAGCTCAGTCATTTGTCAGGATTAGCAAAAGATAAATTCCTGCATTAAGTAACAGTTTGGACTAGATCAAGCCTAATCATCTTTCCAAATCTAAGCTTTTTCTAATTATACCCCCAAGGATCATTTCACACTGAAGGGTATAAATCTTTTAAGCCAGTCTCGCCTCTTGATAATTTGGGTTGCCCTTTTATGGATGCTTTCCAATTCTGACACATTTTTCTTGATGCACAAGATGCAGGACGTCACATAGCTGTATTATAGATAAGTAAATAAATGATTGTTTTACACAAAGAGAAGATTATAATTTTTCAAATTTCCAGTATCACTCCCAAATGAAGCCCAGCATTTTTTACCATAAGCACAGATTCTATAAATTTTATAAAGCACAGTTTGGAACACTTCTCTATTACTCCTTAGTAATTCATACCACATACTTCCTCATTTGATTTTAATATATCATGGTTAAACACATTATCATAACTAATAATTCAAAAGAAATTATTAAAAAATAAATTGATGTTGGTCCACAGTGGCAATAGTCTCAGTTACTTGGAAGGCTGAGATGGGAAGGTTGCTTGAGTCTAGGAGTTCAAGTACGGCATGAGCAACATAGCAAGACCTCATCTCTATATAAATAAATAAATAATTTTAAAAAATTAAATTACTGATTTTATGCCTGAATTATAAGCCTGAATTATAAACAAAGAGTTGCCAAAGTGTCTTCCTATTGTAAAGACTACAGAAATATTGTATAATTTGATGGTGTCAAAGAAAGGAAAGCTTTAGTCCACAAAAAGAACCATATGCTCCACTGGACTAGTAGCTACATGTGTTATTTCCCTTGCCTCTACAGAGATCCTGGCCTACATACAAAATCTGTTTGTAAGCTACTTTTTTGGTGCTTAAAAAGTTTTCTCACTGGAATCATATAGCATTTGTAATGCTCCCAGGAAATTATTAGCCTACATAAGTAAAATTAACTCTATCACATTTTTTCTGTACAGAATAGATAAAAATCAATTCTATTACTGTATTAACAAACACAGCTGGAAGAAGTTTCTTAAAATTTTCAGAGTATGCTTGGGGTGGTCTGACTTAAAACTTAGGCTACCAAAATATACACTAAATCCTTTAGAAGGGTCACCAAGTGAAAGCACATGAGAGACTACAAAGAAATGGACATAATCCTTCAGATTGTCTAGAGTAGTTAATGTATAATCCAGGTCTTTTCCCAGAAGCATGCACAAACTTCAGGTAACAAGCTCCAGTGTGACTGGTAACAGGGTTATTTAACGATAGTTAATGATTCTTTCCTACAAATATGGGAAGGACAACTATTAATAGAAGGTATATGTCTGTCTACATGTGTGCATACATGCTAAACATTTTACATACACTGTTTCATTTTAAGCTTATATCAACCCTGTAAGGAAATTTTTATATATGAGGAAACTAAAGCTTAGAGAAATTTAAAATGACTAGTAATACTGTGTTTCCCCGAAAATGAGACCTACCCGTAAAATAAGTCCTAACAGGATTTCTAAGTTTTTGCGCAATATAAGCCCTACCCAGAAAATAAGACCTAGTGGTGGCTATGCAGCAGTTCTGCACAACCCATGCATTTCCTCGAGGAGCGGTAAAGAAGAGGAGCAGCCCTTCTCATTTGCCCTATGAGAGCTCTATTGCTCAACATGAGACATCGGGGCCAATGGTTCTAAAGGAAATAAGAGTGTAAGAAATTCAGGATGGAATTTGGGGGTTGGTAAGTTATGATGATGTTCCAGAAGAAGACAACTTAACTTATATTTGAATAAATGTAAATTGTTGTACTGTACTTAAAAAAATAACACATCCCCTGAAAATAAGCCCTAGACTGTCTTCTTGAGGAAAAATAAATATAAGACCCTGTCTTATTTTCAGGGAAACACGGTAGACAAAATCAGTATTTAAATCCAGGTTCTTAATGATTATGCTACACTGTATTCCATGGTTACCCAATAAAAGATTAACTCAATGTCTAAAATAACACTATCATATTGAAAGTATTCTAGAATCTAAACACTATATATAATATTAATTTGGGATTGAGAGGAATGACACTCAGAATTTCAAGCTTTCGGGACATAGCCTTCTAGTTAACAGTGAAATTTTTGGCTGCTCAGGTTACAATGTTCCCCTCATGGTTCTAATAGTGTTAGGGCCAGACCTTGAAAGTGGCAATTAAGTTTAAAGAGTGGGGGGAAAAAAGTTGGGAACAAGAAAGAATGAAGCAAGGAATGAGCATAGATCAATTCTAGGCTCTGATGGAAGGCACACTAATCAGTGCTTAGCCAGCTCCACAATCTCCTTTTCTGTAGACCCCAGGATTGGAAACTTCTCTTTCCACGAACTGCTTTTGACCAAAATGTCCATACATTATGAAATATTTCAGTAGTAAGAAAAATTAGTCTTCTGTACACCCTCCAGTTACCAGTAAGGCAAACTGATTGAAATGGAAAGCAAGGAGGAAGTTTCAAAAATTTTTTATGATGGTGTTGGACAGAAGTTTTGAGAGTCAGGTCAAATTATGGTACCACACAGAATGAAGGCTCTACTGACATTAGGAAGCTAGAGCCCATCCTATACTCATAGTATGCTATGCACTTAGTTAGAAAATTGGGATAAGGAGGTAATTAAAATGATTTATGTAATATTGGAGGACTTCATATAGTTTTGTAGGTATATAGTATTTATGTAATATATATATAGGCCTCTCCCTATGGTTCCTGTATCATCATTCACCATTCCCTCACTTCAAATGTTAAAGTTCAAGTTATTTAGAACTTCCTGGAATTCCCCTAAGTACTGTGCTCGCTCTCATATTCTGGCCAAATACATGCCTAGTTCATGATAAGCATTCAGTAAATTTCAAAGGAATAAATGAATGTGGTTAAATATGTGAATCATTTGCATCCCCAATCACCAATCTCCAATGCTTCACCTGTCTATGTCTAATTTGTCCTTAAAATTCAGCTCAAGTACCATTTCTTCCAGCAAGCATTCCCTAACTACCCACTCCTATTTCCCAATTCATTCTAACAACTCAAATGTCTGGATTAAATAACTCTCTGATATACTCCCTGGTGGCTCTTAACATCAAGTTCTGTAATTAATTACCTATTTTGCTGCTACTGTTGTTACTGATCTCTGTCTTTACACCAACCAGCTCCTTCAGAGCAGGGTCTGTGTCTCATTTATCACTGATCCTCATCATCTGGCACAGTGCCTGACTTTACAACCAACACTCAGTAACTATTTACTATATGCATAAAATGCATGACTCACAGCAATATTTGGGGTGCATCAACATATGATTTACACTTTCTGTTCTACTAGTATTGCTGCTTTAGAATTTGAGAGGAGTATGCCAATTGGGTGTGTTAGTCACTCTCATATCTGAAGCAAACCAACAAGTATCAATCAAAGAAAAGGCATCATCTATTATTTATTCCAAGTCCCAAGGAATCCTATGTGATGCTGCATTCCAGAAGCTCCTAATTATGGAAAAGTATTGACAGAAGAAAAAATAACCATCAGCACCAGGACTACAAATTACTTAAAGTCTAGGCATAACAAAAGAAGCTACACGTCTTACAGAAAAACAGGGGGGAGACCCAGGGTCAACAAACATAAACATGTCCTCAATATTACTCATCAGGGAAATGTAAATTAAAACCCAATGCAAAACAATACCATAACATATCCACCACAACAGCTACCACAAAAAAGACAGACAATACCATGTATTGGTGAGGACACAAAGCAACTGGAACTATATCCTGGTGGGAATATAAATTAGTGAAAACACTTTGGAAAATGACAGATTGGTGCAAAATGTATAGTAACTATTAAAACTGAACATGTATATACTCTATGACTCAGTGATTCTACTCCTAAGTGTATAACCAACAGAAATGCATAAACAGGGAGTGCATCAAGATCTTTATAAGAAGAACTCAATGCTGCTGGTCCACTTAAACTTTATGTTCAAGTTTTCATAAATCTTTCAAATTAAGAAGGTGCTTTCAAAATTATTTTGAAGAACCAATGACTATATATGTAAGACACATTTGCCTAAAAAATATATTATTAGCTGGGAGAAAACACCTGATTAAATCAGCAATAAAAGGATATGGTAATATCCCTGAAAAATGATTTCACACTTAATCAATGTAAAACATCATCCTAAATAAGCCTTTCGAGGATCACTTTAAAAATTAGTGTGCTGTGTGGTTACAACCTTGTGAAGCTTATAACTCTACAAGACAAAGAAAAAAAAACTTGTAGCTGTAATGTTATATTAGCGGGTATCTGTTACAGTATTGTACATGGACTCAAAAGTACTGAATCTCAAATAACTTAAATGGAAATGAATACAGCACTCTAGAAAACCGTGGTAGATGATTCAAAAAGTAAACCTGGTAAGGACAGAAACCTGAAATGTGAAGTAGAAAAAAATGGTATTTCTAAAATATTTATGTATGTGATTTTAAATACATGTTTTTCTAAAATAATAAAATGATATAAATAGAAAAAAGCATGTATAAGAACATGTAAAGCAGCATTATTCACCACAACCAAGATGTAAAAACTACCCAAATGCTCATCGAAAACAGAATGAATAATGGAATAATCCTAACACACTACTACACAGCAATGAAAATGAACAAATTACAACTACATATGGCAATATGGATAAATATAACAAATATAATCTCAAGTAAAAGAAGCCAGACACAAATATGATTCTGTTTCTATAAAGTTCAAAAACAGGTAAAACTATACGTGGACAGTGGTTCCCCTTGATGGGAGGGAATGAAAAAGTAGGTGATATGGGACAAAGAGGTTTCTGGGACACTGGTCGTTTTCTGTATCTTTAAGTAGTGGTTACATGGGTATGTTCGCTTTGTGAAAACTCACTGAGGATTTAGCTAAAAGATCACTTAGAATGCATGTACTTTTTTGTATATGTGATACAATAAAAAAAAGTTAAGAAAGAACATTTGAAGGACACTATATACCTAAGCTATGACAAGCCAAGGGATACCATATGTATCAGGAAGCCAGGCCTTTTTGGAGGTCAGCGACCTTTACTCACACTTGTATACCATGAAGAGCTTTAACTCTGGAAATCAGAAGGGTCATCTAAAGCACATATTTTCTGACCCCTACCATCACCAGACTCTTGCCAAAACAACACAAGCCTGATTTCTCCTTCACCCATGGTGAAACAAAACACAGTCTCATTGCTTCTCTCGAAATTTCATTTCCCTGAAAATCCTTTAAAGTTCTCTAAAGGACGGTTCTAAAAACGAAGCAAAAGATTTTTCCTTCTGATCTACCACTGATTAAATAAGTACCATACTAAGCAATACACACACACACACACACACACACACACACATATATATATATATATATAAAATCTAATTCCCCAAAACTCTATAAGGTAAATATTATGATGCCCAGTTTACAGATGAGGAAACTAAGAATTAGTAGTCAGTCAGTGATAG